CGGTAATTGGCAGGTGCAGGATTTCTGACTCTTAGTATAAAACAGTATTACTTCACCGTGCTGCTCACTCTACAGCAGGGGTTCTCAAAGTGTGTTTCACAGCCACACACCATCAGCACCACCCGGGAGCTTGTTGGAAATGCCCATTCTCGGCCCCATGCCACATCTACTGAATCAGAAGCTCTGAGGCTGGAGCCCAGCTCTCCATGGTCTCAGGAGCCCTTCAGGTGATTCTGATGTATGTTTAAGCTTGACAACCACTGAGGAAGCATAGACAGTGAATTCTACATTGAGCTCAACTTTTTAGAAAAATTCTGATAAACTATCTTTAAAAGCCAAGGCCTCAAGAGAGCCAAATACTGTCTGATGCAGCGTTCAGTAGAGCAGACGGACCTAGGCTCCAGCCCCTGCCCTGCACAGAGTAGCCACTGACCTTGGGTAAGTTATTTATCCTCTCTGAGCTGCAGTTTCCCCATCTATGAAATGGGGGATCATACTGGCCTTGCAGGGGGGTTGTAATAATTAAATGAAGTAATACATGGGATGGGTCTGATTCCTTCCACTACTCAACCATAATGGAGCCTACTACCTGAAATAATCAGACATTTAATGTGTTTTTAAGTAACTCTGTGCCCAATGTTTTATCAATTCTTTGGAAATTTGCCTCTATTTTGCTGAGAATAAGCCCCCAAGTAAGTGCCCCCCAACCCCACGCAGTGAATTAAATTTGGCTTACTGAAGTCTTAGACTTCAAATCAACCTTAATCTTCTGAACACCATTCTAAGCCTTAAAGTTAAAGGTTTGCAGTTAAAATCTTGAAATCTTGAGGCCAGGTACCTGTGTAGGATCTCTCTCTCTCTCTCTCTCTCTCTCTCTCTCTCTCTCTCTCTGAATCTTACTTATCATTTAAATGCGAGATCTGTTCCCTGCCACTGTGTGAAGCAGCAAGATACTGTGAGCAAGATGGATCAAGTTAAATAGTGTTCAGAATTCTGTGGGCAAATGAGATTATAAGGTACCCCACACAGCTGCAGGTGGTTGTTGTCCCTGCTCAAATCTAAACTCTGTAGCCTGTGCTCCGGCCTCTCCCTTCCCTGATGGTGACTCCTTTGTACAATGCCAAGGATGAGATCAGTATCAAGGATCAGACAAGGGACTGACGCTGAGTGAGGCTGATTTATGGTGGGTCTAAACTTGCTGTCTCAACCCACAGATTCACCTGAAGGGTAACCTCAACCACGAGCTCCCTAGACTCCTTGCCATCTGTCTCAGCCTAACCCTTACTTTAAGGCAGGAGACGTTATTCCCTCCAAATTCCTCAATTTTGAAGAGGCACAATGGTTAAACAATCAGCTGCTAACTGAAAGATAGGTGGTTTGAACCCACCCAGTGGCTCTGTGGCAGAAAGACCTGGTGATCTCCTCTCATAAAGATCACAGCCTAGAAAACCCTATAGGGCAGTTCTACTCTATCACATGGGGTCGCTATGGGTCGAAATCGACTCAATGGCACCCAATAACATTCTCTCACTATGTTCTACTCATTTCACTGTAACAAACTAGAAGGGTCTGGTGCAGCAGGGAGGTGAGACAACTGCATAAACTGAAATCCTGGTTGTATCATGTGCTGGCTATGTAACCGTAGGCAAGTTACTTAAGTACCTCAGTTTCCTCATCTGTAAAATGGGATAATGATATCTACCCCTCAGAATTACAGTGAAGATTAAGTGAAATCGTACATAAAAAGCACACTGTTAATATACCCAGCAACCAATTTATTTGCTATTATTTCAATTCCTTATTTTGCCAAAAGCTCCTTCCAAAAAAGACCAATGAAAGTTCACCTGCTGCTGTATCTCTATCCCACCAAGGAATTGGCTGAAGACAGGCAGCCAGAAAGGTAGGGAGAAAAGTAAACAGCCTGCTAAACTCTGAAGTAATATAACTGGAGCATGAATAATTAAGAATAGACTGTTCTCTTTTAAAGAATTATCTATATGAGATCAAATTGACAACAGTAACTCTAAAGCTTAGATGAGAAGTTTAGGCAACAGTGAGTCTAAGTTAATGGTGGTGAAATAATTTGGGAAGAGGTAGTAAGAATGGTGACCCAATGTGAACAATGTAACCATTGTCACTGAATTTATACATGTAGAAATTGTTGAATAGGTGTATGTTTTACTGTGTATATTTTCACCAAAAATAAAAGAAGTAAGAATGAAAAAAAAAAAAAAAAAAAAAAAAAAGAAAACAGACTGTTACTCTAGTCTTCAAGATGCATAATCTAGATCTTGCTTCTGAATAATCCATGAATGGGTGCAATATCATCATACCCTGATTAATGCTAGATGCCCAAGAGGTCCTTAAGATATAGACAATGATGATAAAGACATTCTAGACACAACTGACCCAACATTTATTCTGATGCATTGGTACATCCATTCATTTCAACAAACACCTGAAGCACTGTTCTTAGAGTCAAAGATACTGGCTTCATGGAGGAAAGACAACTGAGGGAATCCTCTTCCTCTCAACAAACATGCCACTTAGTCTTCTTAGAGAAAAACAATGATAATAATTACCACACAAAAAACGTTGGCTCCTATATGCTGGCCCTGTGCCAAATGTGGTTATACATCATTCACCTTCATAGAGGCCTGAAGTAAGCGGTGTTGCTAGATACACTCTGCGGATTTGGAAACGGAGGCTTAGAAAGGTTAAATCACACACTCAAGTTTCCAAGGTGAGTAAGCAACACAGTCAGGACTGGCTTTCAAAACCTGGGGCGGATTATCCAACAGGCAAGGTAAGCACAGTGCTTACCTTGCTTACCAGATTATCTGTAGTGAACAATTTCATATTTTTTTCATCACATCAAAGATTCTGTTTCTAGGTATGGCTGGCATCTGTCTCTCTCCCAACCCCACAGCACCTTCCTACAGAACCAAAGCCTTTTTTCAATTTTATAATCCCTGACAGGGGTAGATGAGCCAGTAAGTAAGGTAAGCATGCGCTTACTTGTGCTTCCTTACTAATATGTAAGTAAATGTGAAATTGTTCACTACAGATGATCTGATAAGCAAGGTAAGCACTGTGCTTACCTTGCCTATTAGATAATCTGCCCTTGTTCTTAACCCTTTCTTGGTTTACTGCTCATGAATTACTGTACATTTTTTTTTTCTAATTGGCAGTGGAGAGAAGTTAGATTCAACTCAGTCTGTGCTGCCAGCCAAATCACCCTTACATTTGGTTTCATTGTTAAAGAGCCATGAATGACTGAGACTGTATTTAGGAGGCCACATATTTAGCCTACATTTAAGATCTTGGCCCAATCTGTTTTTCTAGCTTCATCTCTTACATTTGAGCCAGTGGGGATTCTTGTCATTTCCTGAATGGCATCTACACTGCTCTACCCATAAGCCTTTTTGCTTACACCATATGTCTTTCCCCTCTGCCACCAGTAACTGTTGAGAATCCCAACCCCTCATTCAGGACTATCCAGGATTGCTACCCTTCTGTAAAGCTTTTCCTAATCCCCAGTCCCACCCCATTCAGACCACTTGGCTTTACAGCTACTCAGATTCTGCTTCGATTAATGTAACTGACTCATCTTACTTCCTGCCTGTAAATTTTCAGAGCACTTAGCTCCCTGCCTTTGCTGACTGAATCAGGTTCATGTACAGTTCCAGCAAACAATGCAGTAAATGAAATGCCAAGTTCTAAGGAGTATCTTATTTTCATTACTCCCCAATTCTTCATTCAGCTTAAAATCTCTCCTGTATATTCCACATTATACATATATTCAAACATCTATTATGTAAAAGACTCTCTTGGCCAGCAGAAACATAAAGCTGCATCAGTGGACCAAAAGCTGAGTGACTGTTCTTTGTATGCCAGGTTGCAACTGAAAAATACTTTGGTTGGGGATTTATCGTTGGAGAATTTGAAGACAGAACACATTTAAAAGTTTTGGGCATCATCATCATTTTGTGAAGGGAGATAAAATTATCAGCTTTATTTCCGATAAAGTTGCACTGGAGAATACAGCTGTGATATGCAGTCACATCTGTGCTTCCTATGTCCACACCTTCGGATGAGATGCCCATCAGGTAACTGGCATGCTGGCACGCACTCACTCAGACTGCCTGCCCTCGAGTGTGCCAAGACCCTGTGCCCTGACCTACCTGCATCTGCCACACAGAGGCAGGAGGAGGCAGGCACAATTTCATCTGGGGGACAGGCAAATCCTAAAGCAGACAGAATTTCTAAATAATAGTTCCTCAAGGATCTTTTCAAATTAAGTCTGTAATTCTCATTTAAAACTAATCTATTTCATGTGAAACTCAGCTAAAAAAATATTGGAGTGGGCTATACTAAAATATAACCTTTTAATAATGTAGGGGAAGGAGGCCAGGTGGTGCAATGGTTAGGAGCTCGGCTGCTAATCAAAAGGTTGGCGGTTCGAACCCACCAGCCGCTCCATGGGGGAAAAGACTTGGAGATCTGCTCCCTTAGAGCCTACAGCCTAGGAAACCCTATGGGGCAGTTATACTCTGTCATATAGGGTCACTATGAGTCAGAATCGGCTCAACGGAACACAACAACAACAATGTAGGGAGTCTCTGGGTGGCACAAATGGTTGAACACCCAACTACTAATGGAAATGTTTGGTGCTTTAAACCCACCCAGAGACGCCTCAGAAGAAAGACCTGGTAATGTGCTTCTGAAAGGTCACAGCCTTGAAAACCCTATGGAGCACAGTTCTACTATGACGCACATGAGGTCGCCGTAAGTTGGAATCAACACTACAGCAACTGATTTGGTTTTGGTGGTAATAATGTAGGAGTAAGAATTTCCACTCAATTTTATCAAACTCTGCCTTTATCTGTAAATGTATAAAAATGCTAGATTATCTTAGAGAAGACTGGACACAGTCTACTAGATCTGAGACATAGCCACTGTATCAAGGGAGTAAGAATCATTTTTAGGTCATTTCTTACCTTGATCCAATGACATCAAAAAGATGTTGCCAACGATCATTAATTTTGTTGAGCTTGTCATTGATCTCAGCTGTTCTTGTCTTGTTGCTCGCCTTGATCAACTGGTCACCCATTTGCTTTAACTGGAATTTGTTTTCACTAAACATGTTTATTTCTTCCATGCAATCCTGGCAAAGTCACCAAAACATGAAGTTTTTATTACTACTGAAAGTTCGTTTTCTCTCCAGCCATAAACACGTAGTTGCCTGATGAAACTTTTAAAAATGTTTAAAAATTCTCACATTCCTCTTCATTCAACTCTTTAGTAAATAGCTAAAAAGTCAAACAAAGCCCACTAGGCAAATGTGTAAAATGTCAGGCAGCAGTCACTCCCTAAATTCAATAGCCCTGGCTTCCTATCACAGATTCTTCTAATCTAACCTACTTGGAAGGTGAGGACAACTGACTAAAGACTGGAGCATAACTAAATTTGCTTAATATCAGTAAGAGCTTTCCTGAGGTTTGACAGAGTCGCATTTTGGGTGTTTGTGGCAAGAATGCTCTTTCCATACTTTCCTGTGGGAATTAGTGACTATTTCAAAATTATGGGTCCCAATGTTGTTGGCCCCTCTCCTTGGTGAGGAGGGCTCCTTAACAATGACACCTAGAAAAACCATAACTTAGCTAGAGGCATGAAATGATGCTCCAAGAGATATGAGCCTCTTCCCTGGCCAGACTTCCTAACCAAGAGAAAGCAGCTCTCAGTACACACCAGCATACCCACCCATTGCAGTCCCACACTTCCTATCTCTCTGGAATTCACACCACTAAACATAATGAGAGAGCCCCTTTACATTTCTAAAACGTTATTAGAAACACATCTGTAACATTATATTGCTCTGAGGCCGAGGCTGAGGAGGGCACAGAATTCCCTGGTGGTCACAAATCTATTCATCTGGATATCCCTGCTCACCTTCTGTAACTTTTCAATCATTTCTTCAATACTAATATCAGCTGTCTGTAGAACTTTGTTTTCCATCTGCACCAGCCATGCACACAAATCTTTATTCTTTTCATTGAACACAATCCAAGAATTGAGTCTGTCTTCAATCTCCTGTGTGCGTATAGCCACCTGTGGATGAAAACCCATTTGGTAGCTGAGTATAGCCAGACATTTCCCCTCCCTCTTTCATCCCCCCATCAAAAGGCATATGAATTTCACTCATTTTAACCAGTGTCTGTATAGACTTAAATCTTTATGTTTTTGCCTTTTAAATACCTAGGGATTAACGTCAACAGAATTTCTTACACTTTTGATAAATGCCAAGAAAAGCAATGCAATAATTGTAACTGAAGTGTGACTGGAAGAATTCAGTTTTATCTAAAATATTTCTCAGGATCAGGCAACGTTTCTTTCTGTTATACATAAGGGCACCATGAGTCTGAGTCGCTTCAATGGCAACTAATGACAACTATCGTGCTACACTAAAAATTAAAAACAGGAAAGGTTAGAAAAGTTCTCATAAGCACCACCCTAACTCATTTATTGACTGCTTCCAAACCCGATGTGTTGAGTTGATTCGGATTCATAGTGACCCTATAGGACGGAGTAGAACTGCCCTATAGGGTTTCCAAGGCTGTCAATCTTTATGGAAGCAGACTGCCACATCTTTCTTCTGCGGAGTGGCTTGTGGGGTGGGTTCAAACCGCTGACACTGTGGTTAGCAGCCGCACACTTTAACCACTGTGCCACCAGGGCTCCGTATTAACTGCTTGCTACATGCTAGTTTACAACTTTATGACCAACATCCTCCCCTTTAATCCTTATACCTACACAAGGCCAATGTCTTGCCTATTTAATTTCGAAACTATAATCCAAATCACAATACAAATCAAACATCTGTAATGCAAACGGACCAGGAAAATTAAAGTTACTTAAATCTCCTAGTGTTATGCTTCAAAAACAAGGCAAAATAAAACAAAGCATATCACTCATTTAATCTACCTCCTCATTATGCGCAATGGCTCTGGATGGAAATGTGGCCAAATACCGGTCTGCAGCAAGCAGGCTGACACCAAAGTACCCAAAGTTCCATTAGCATAACCAGCCCCTTCGCTGCTGAACCCCGCAAAGGGTCCTCCTCCTTACATGGTTTCAACTTTTTTTTACTTGCATAAAGTTTAAAGAACACAAATCAGCCTTTCTAAATGTATAAAAGTATTCCCAGGTCTTTAAATCTTCAGAATCTTAGAGCTACAAAGAGTTGCTGAGTTTCTCTGGTAAAGTTTAACATCCCTGTTTACTGATGAAGAAACCAAAGATAAACTCCCCCAGCCTTTCCCGCTATGTACAAAAACCTCTGCTCTTTCTAGAGTTAGGCAAAAACACCTGTTTGCACATCCTCCCCAGCCAAATGTATTAAAACAATATCAAAAAAAAAAAAAAAAAAAAAAGAAAAAAGAGCTTTGAAAACCAGCCCTACAAAATAAGTTCTGTGTTTCCATTCTATAGGGCAGCTTTTTTAAAATCCTGGCAGTTTGCATAACTTCATTGTGATTGGCTTCATAATGGCAACAATTAGGAACATCTGGGTCCCAGTCAAGGCGTCCTGGTGGCACATTGGTTAAAGCACTCAGCTGCCAACCAAAAGGTCAGTGGTTCAAACCCACCAGCCGCTCTGAAAGATGTGGCAGTCTGCTCCCATAAAGATTTAAAGCCTGGGAAACCCTTTGGGGGCAGTTCTACTGTGTCCTATAGGGTTGCTATGAGTCAGAATCCACTCGACGGCAGTAAGTTTTTTAGTTCGGGGCCTTAGTCTTTGAATCTACCTTAGTTTTTAGGATACTTTTCACATATTCTAAACATTTTCTTTTATATAAAATTTCAATAAAAATTCTAAAAGAACATTTAAAATTAGGGTACACTGTGAATATTAAATACTAAAATCAAGAAGGGGAAAATGTCATGTTTTTACTAAAATGCATTCAGGAGTGTCTGAATTTCAACTTTTAAATACTGTCTGTCCTTAATTCACAAAAATGAGATGAAGGGCTTTACTTTTCTTAGTATTGTATGTTTTTAAAACAAAGATCTTTAAGATGATTTAACCCCTTTAATTCCATCCTGATCTTGTCACAAACATATATAATACTCTAACCAGTTTCATTCTTAATAAGTAGAGGTGATCACCTGTGATACAAAGTATAGCCATTCATCATTTCTTTCAGACAGCTTTCCAAAACAGGCTACCCGAATATAAACATCGGAGAGCATGTCAGAGCAAAGCTCTCATATAAAATGCCCCTGTGCCCTGCACTAAGTAAAGCTTAGGCTGTTTGTCAGGCCCGGAAGAGACTGCAGGAAGGGCGAAACAACACCTTCTGTCCTGAGTCCTGATTCTAATATGCTGGTTAGTACTGGTCACCCGCCCAAGGCAGAGAGCAGAGTACATGCGTCTTCTCATAATTGCAGCTTATCCTCCACTTAAGGTGATGTTTTAAGAAGCTCACTAAAAAAGTGTGCAAAGTTCCAGTATTTTGTGCTGAAGAAACAAAGGGTCAAATCTGTTAAATCATGTTGCTGCCTTCTAAAGAAGGCTGCAACTAAAAAGGGCCTCCCAGTTCAAGGGAATTAAGCTCCTTTCTACTTTGTCCGGCCTTCGGAGACATTTCAATAAACTCTGAAACAGCTGTGTCCTGCAGTTAACTGACTTACTCTTAAGCAGAGGTCCTCCCATTGTCTGTGCAAATGCTCTATTTGCTCCTTCAAAACCATCACGTCCTCCACAAGAATGTGCCGGGTTAAGTCAGCCTTCATAGTGTGAAGTTCTTTCAAGTTCTGAGTCCAGTTAGCCAAAGACTTCTCTAGTTCCTGCATTTCAACACAAGAAGTGGGGAGGAAAAGGCTTCCACTCAAACTGCTGTTGTTTCCAAACCTGTTGGCTAATCCTTTGATTGGACTCTGGGGGAAGGGAGGCCAGGGAAAGGGGAGGGGCCTTCTGAATGAGAAACAGCCCACCGTGAGCGTCTGCAGTTGTGGCTGGCCAGTTCTTAACCACCTTTTCCTCAAAAGAAATCACTGTCTCTACTTTGATTTTTCATTTCCTCAGGTAGTTCAGACTTTTTTATAATTAATTCAAAGTCAGGGAGGCCTTTAGTTTCAGAGGAAAATATTTTTGTTGTCTAGAAACAGCCTTACACACACACATACACGTTTTTAATTCTGAAACTATATTACAGAAATGCTGTATACAGTGTGATTTCCCATTGTTTGAAACTCCTAAGAAATGCATTGTTGCAATTATGGCAATCATACAACAGAAACAGCTTCTGTTCAAAGGGAATAACATATTTGGTTGACTACTGAAAATAATGAGTATAATGGAAGAGAAAATAAATTGTTCCCTAAGAATTGGCCAGAGATTGGTTAGCAGAAAATTTTATCTGGCGATGGAAACATTTATGTTTTAAAGTAAAATATTTGTCAAATTAAAACTTTCTGAATTCTGGGACCTAACTGAGAAAATTACTTTCATAGCAGGGGAAGTAAAAAGAAACAGCCAAAACAGTCAGACTGTTAAAATACCCCAGATTTTTATTGTGCTCACAATTCTTTATACTTGGCACATTTTAAGGTCTCCATTCATACCTGTCAGATAAAATCTGAAAGAATATTCCATTTACATCAGAGAGAAGTCTGAGAGGTGGCAACAATAACAACGTGATAATTCTGATTAATTTCGAGAGATCTAAAAGCTACACTGCCATTCTCTTACAACTTGCCAATAAGAATTTACATTCAATAAAATGGCTAGAAGTCTTTCTACAGGTAACATGGAGATTAAGAAATAACACCTTTTATCAGAAGAGAAATCACTACCTTAAGTTTTTGGTACCTAATTTTAACTTCACAACCCCAGTAAAGTTCATGAGAGCAGATCTGAGGTAGAAGACTTCTAATAGCTACATAACATACAGGGGGAAGCTCATAAGCTGAGATATACCACTCATTAATTTAAAACTTGTCCTGGGGTGGAGCAAATGGTTAATTCCCTTGGCTGCTAAATGAAAGGAGTCCAGCCAGAGGTGCTTTGGAAGAAAGGCCTGGCAATCTACTTCTGGAAAATCAGCCATTGAAAACCCTAAAATGGGTCACCATGAGTTGAAATCGACTTGATGGCAAAAGAAAACAAAATAAAAACTAGAGGAGACCCAGAAAACCACTGGGCTTTACACAAAGCTTTCCATCAGTTACCAGGAGGCTTAGACTGCCCACGGTCAGAGGTACCAGCTTCAATGCCTACATGGCAGGCAGGCATGTTTAGATCAATTCCATTTGGACACCTGGTTTCCCACAATTCAAAAGACAATTAACAGATGTAAAACTTTCAAATATGGACATTGTTACGATTCTTAAGAAATACTACCAAACTGTGTCCTCAAAGGAATGACTGTGTCTACATGCTTTTTGGCATTGCATTTTATGTATTTTGGGGGCAAGTTTAATACGTGCCGTGATTCCTCGTTAATCTTTAAACCTGCATTTCTTTAATTGCTCCTCCTCGCTCCTTCACCCTGATGGTCCCACAAATATATTTAGTTAATTTGTGCTGAAACTTTCAGATTTCAGCCACAAAGTTACTTCCTCAGGGGAGCCTTCCCTGAGCCATCAGACAATGTTGGGATGCCTCTACTAATAGTCATCAGGCTTATAATTCACACACTGCACACACACGCACACACGTATATATTTATGCCTATTGTACAACCATCTGGTAAACATGTGTCTCTCTGGTAGACTAGACTGTCAGCTCCACACTGGCAGGACCATGACAGCATCGCTCACCGACGCATCACCCAGCACCTACCACAGTGCCTGCTACATGGTAAGTCCTCAGATACCAAAACGCATGATGAAAAGGAAAGCAATCTGGCAATATGTGTCAAGAGCTTTAAAATATTCATAAATACTATGTGAAAAAAGCAAGGAATTAAACAATATATACAGTGAACTCTACTGTGGAAGTTTATTATAGTGGACAATCACTATTTGTACAAATATTTCAAAAATCATGCTTCTGTCTCTAAATGAAAATACCCCAAATTTGCTTTCAAGCAAAACTTGAAAACTTTTCAGAAGGAAATGTAGTAAAGTTATCTTTATGACTTTAGAATGGAGATTTCCCAAAAGAAACAAAAAGTACAAACCATACAGGAAAATATTGATAAATTCACTGACATTAAAATTTAAAAAAATATTTTGTTCATCCAGAGACACCAAGAAAAAAAGAGGGGTAAAAAAAGCTCTAGAATGAGAGAACATTTGCAATGTATATACTCAGCAGAGGAACAGTATTTAGAATAAATAAAGAGCTCCTTCAATTCAATAAGAAAAAAACAAACAGCCCAACAGAAAAACAAGTAAAGGATATAAACAGGCAATTACAGAAGGGCAAACCTGAATGAGCAATGCATATGAAAAAATGCTTAGTTCACTAGTAATGAAACTATGAAGCAATACCATCTCACACCTATCAGACTGGCAAAAGTTAAAAAAAAAAAATCCGACAATCTGAGTGACTAGAAAAGGCATATATAAATTGTTTTATACTCATATAATGCAAACTACACAGCAGTGAGAATGAATGAGCTACAGGTATCAATAATAATAGCCCACAATCGTCATGAGTTACATCATACATGGTATAGAGTATGGTACTGCTTATATAAAGTTTAAAACCATGGAAGGCAATACTTCTATACTTCATTGAGAGCTACATATACATGTAGTAAAACTGTAAAGAAATGAATAAGAATGATAAACACCAAATTCAGGAGGGTGCACACCTCTAGAGGGACAGGGGTAGGAAGTAGACTGAAGATGGTACACTGGGCACTTGATCTGTATTTGTAATGTTTCATTTCTTCAGCTAGGTGATGGTTTCATGGCAGCTTGTCATATTATTTATTATGTCTTTTTGCATATTAGAAATTTTCACAATGAAGAAAAAGGATACAGGACAAGAACACTAATTTTCAACATAGTCTGAAGTATGAGACTACTCATTTCATCCTAATTTTTCAATCTGGTCCATCCCTGAAATCACTGAAGTAAGAAAAAGATGATTCCAATAGGCTCTCAATGTCTTTGTATATCAAGCCTGTAGACAGGAAAGAGATGCAGGGAGTTCCTGCTCTGGGAATTTTCCTGGTCCAAATTCTCATCCATAAATTTGCCTTGTCTTCTGTAAAGGCCTATCCTATCCAGGAATTTTTGTCAGTGAGGTATCAATTAGACAAAATAGAGTTTGCAAGTTTTATAAAAATGTTATACTTGAGCAAAAAATCCAACCTTCTGGCTTCTAAAAAATAAATTCTTTAGTCATACTTTACTCTCATTTCAAAGACAAGGTCATATGATAAGGGAACAGCTTTCAAGTAATCTCAGAGGTCACATCTTATATTAAGAAAGAGAACCTGAAGGATAAAACCCCCAGGATCCTAAGAAGTCAATTTCTGCAAAAATCATTCTCATCTCCACACATGGATCTCAAAGAGCATTGATTCCAGTTCCTTAAGAGATTAGGATGTTATGTTAGAAAATAGGAAAAATGTTTTCCAATTGAACATGAAAACTCAGTTTCAAGAGAGAAATGGAAAGGCAAATTTCAAGTACTCAGAAAACAGCTAAGTGATTATCCTGAACACCACTTCAGATTTCAATACCTTAATCAGCTCCTTTTCTTTATGGAGGTCCTCATGAAGCTCTGGAAGAGGATCTTTACTTTTTGCCTTTAAAACTTGCAGCCTGCTTTTCAACTCCTTGATTTTCTTTTCACACTGGTCCCAAATCTATTTGAAAATAATATTAAAAATAAGTACTTTATTCTTTAAGAATTAACTGTAGAACAGAAAAACTTATTTAATCCATATAATTTTTCTATAAAATGTATTTTTATAAAGCATTAAAAAAAAGTTGCTGTGCCGATTCCAATTCATGGTGACCCTATGTGTGTCAGACCAGAACTGTGCTCCATAGGTTTTCAATGTCCGATTTTTCAGAAATAGATCACAAGGCCTGTCTTCTGAGGTGCCTCTGGGTAGACTCCAACCTTCAAACTTTCGATTAACAGCCAAGCATGTTAATTGTTTGCACACCTAGGGACTTCAATTCTTTGTCTTGAGCAGACTGCAGTCTAGAAGAGCAGACCAGGGTGGCTCAGTGCCTCTTTGTAGCCTTACATGTGGCTCATGTCAACCACTGGTTGGCCTTTGCTTTGAAATATTTTTTTCTCCCATTCCATATCCCTGATCGATCTAATTTTATCTCTATTTTAAGAGTTCACATTTAAAACACTACTGTAAGGACTAATTTTTAGCATTGACAGTCTGAGGGCATATGCTATAATAGCAACATAGAGCAAAAGCACTCAATCACTTTTCTTATCTTGTTTTCTAACATCATCCCTATACTCTCTCTTCCCCTTTCTAGAGTTTGGCTTTAGCGACCCTTTCACATGGAAGTTTCATTTCTCCATTGTCCACCATTGCTCTGACTGCTGCCTTCTACTTAAAGCATTTTGCCATTTACAAAGCATTTTCAACTTTAATATGTCATTGTAATTATAACTTTAGAAGACAGACAAGGCAAGTACTATCATCACATTTCAAATGAGAAAGCTGAAGTTCAGAGAGGTTCTGACTGACTCAAGGATATGCGGTTAAGGAGCAACATAGTCGAGAGTGGACCTAAGACCGTATTCTCCACTTCTAGTATCATTCTTTCATGCCATTTCTTGTCCTCAAACCTTACATTATTGAGCAATTATGTAGTTGCCTGCATTTTCACACCTGCATTTATAACTGATTCACTAGGGCAAGCTTCTTCTCCCGACATTATAAAAAGTAGACTGACGTAAAACGAAACATTATTCTATTTCTCCGTATATTTGATACTTAAGCATACTTGGGTTGGCCCAGTTCTCTGATAATGCCTCACTTAAGTGGAGCTCACTTGTCTAGCAAATTCAACTATTTGGAGCTGAACCGAGAAGAAAGCAAAAAGGGAAGCAAAATTTGTGTTCTTCTTTGTTTCACCAAATCATTAATTGTATTCACCATCATACTTTAAACATAGCAGATTCTCAACATCTATTTGCTAAATAAATGAATTTCACACAGTCCACGTAATTAATAAGGTTCAGACACTTTACTCATAGAAGAGAAACTTAGGCTCTAACTCAGCACATAAAAAACAAACAAACAAACAAAAAAACACCACTGCCATAGAGCTGATCCCGACTCATAGTGACCCTACAGGACAGAGTAGAACTGCCCCATAGGGTTTCCAATGAGTGGCTGGTAGATTCGAACTGCCGATCTTTTGGTTAGCAGTTGAGCTCTTAACCACTGTGCCACCAGGCTCAGCACGTATCTACTCTTTATTCAGAAAGATATCTCTGGCAAGCTTGGTTATCTGGTTTTGGTACACAGAGCAGATTAGAAAGGGGAGTGGGGTATATAGGAGTAGTCATTCTTGGAGAAACAAAAAGTGAAAATCAACAGCTTAATGTTAAGAAGAAAGGAAAAACCTATAAAAACCATAAAGAACTTTAAAAAGCATAGTAGTTTAGGGCCATGGAGAGTAGGTTCAAACAGCTCAGAGTCCTTGACAGTAACTTGGTATTTTAGCATGACAATACAGTAATGATTTTCCTAATAATGATCCCAAAATAAAACATTTTGGGTTCTAAAGGTATAATCTTAAGTTATCTGGGAAATTCACTTAAGTGACAAAAACAGCAGTCTCTGATGATAGGAGAAAGATGAAGTATCACTGTGTTGATTTTCATATAAACCCCGCTGCTGCTGAGTTGATTCCGACTTGTAGTGACCCTATAGGACAAAGTATAACTGCCCCATAGTGTTTATTTTCATATACTACACCCAAAAGCAGACCATATGTGGAATATTAACTTTGTGTATTAACCTTCCATTGAACATGAATGAGTTTCCTGTTTCATAAAAGTAAATACCTAAACAGAACCTTGAGTATTTATATACCTAATACTGAGCTTTTTCAATGCTCATTATTTTACATTAGGTAACTGACATGACTCACATGCATTAGTGGGACTTAAGTTCTCTTGGAAAACTCAAAATACTGTGATTTCCTAAAATCAATTCCTATTTTCACTCAGTGAACAAAATTTTTTTATTTTTTTATTGTAGTAGTTTAAATGAAGTTTACATTTCGTTAGTCTCCCATACAAAAATTTATACATACATTGTTATGTGACTCTAATTGCTCTCCCCATACTGTGACAACACACTCCTCCTCTCCACCCCTGATTCCCCATGTCCATTCAAGCAGCTCCTAACCCTTTCTGCCTTCCTGTCTCACCTCCATACAGAAGCTGCCCGTTTAGTCTCTTGTATCTACTTGAGCTAAGAGACACACTCCTCACAAGTTTATCACTTTATGCCCCACAGTCCAGTCCAATCCCTGTCTAAAGAGTTGGCCTCGGAAACTGTTTTAGTTCTGGGCTGATAGAGAATCCGGGGGTCATGCTTTCCAGGGATCCTCCAGTCTCATTCAGACCATTAAGTCTGGTCTTCTTACTAGAATTTGAGATCTCCACCCCACCTTTCTACTGCTCCATCCGGGACTCTCTGTTGTGCTCCCTGTCAGGGCAGTCATCGGTGGTAGCCAGGCATCATCTAGTTCTTCTGGTCTCAGGCTGATGAAGTCTCTGATTTATGTGGCCCTTTCTGTCTCTTGGGCTAATACTTTCCTTGTATCTTTGGTGTTCTTCATTCTCCTTTACTCCAGGCAGTTGGGACCAATTGATGCATCTTAGATGGCCGCTTGCAAGCTTTTAAGACCCCAGATGCCACTCACCAAAGTAGGATGCAGAACATTTTCTTAATAAGCTTTTTTATGCCAATTGACCTAGATGTCCCCTGAAAGCATGGTCTCCAGACCCCTACCCCTGCTACTCTGTCCCTCAAAGTGTTCGATTCTATTCAGGAAACTTCTTGGCTTTGGTTTAGTCCAGTTGTGCTGACTTCCCCTGTAGTGTGTGCTCTCCTTCCCTTCACCTAAGGTAATTCTCATCTACTATCTAGTTAGTAAATAACCCTCACCCTCCTTCCCCACCCTCGTAACCATAAAGAATGTATCCTTCTGTGTTTAAACCTTTTCTTGAGTTCTTATAATAGTGGTCTTATACAATATTTGTCCTTCTCTGACTGACTAAATTCACTCAGCATGACAACCTCCAGATTCCTTCATGTTATAAGATGTTTCACGGCTTCATCGCTGTTCTTTATTGTTGCATAGTATTCCATTGTGTGGATATAGCATAATTTGTTTATCCATTCGTCCGTTGTTGGGCACCTAGGTTGCTTCCATCTTTTTGCTATTGTGAACAGTGCTGCGATGAACATGGGTGTGCATGTATCTATTCGTGTGACAGCTCTTATTTCTCTAGGATATATTCCAAGGAGCGGGATAGCTGGACCGTATGGTACTTCTATTTCTAGCTTTTTAAGAAGTGCCAAATCGATTTCCAAAGTGGTTGTCCCATTTTACATTCCCACCAACAGTATGTAAGTGTTCCAGTCTCTCCACAACCTCTCCAGCATTTATTATTTTGTGTTTTTTGGATTAATTCAGTGAACAAAATTTTATGTACTGCATTTGAGTATCATGAATGGAAAGTAAATGGTGGGCTTACCTCTACAATGCTCTGGAAGTGTTTAATCATTTCTCCTACTTGAAGCTCTGTGTCTTTCCAGTTGTCCTGAAGTTGTCTGATTTTCTTGTCAATTGATTCCTCAGTTTCCAGGTTAGTTGTGCTCAGTAACTGTTCCCCAGCTTCCAAGGTTAGTGCATAGGTGGTTTGTCTTCTCTGAAAATAAATTTCTTTACTCTAAAACAAAACAGAAGAAAAGTGATTTGCTTAAGTGTCTGATGTGATCAAAGTGTGATGTTTGTGTGTATTTCCTTCAGAGTTTTTTTTTTAATGTTAAATTTGATATAAATTAGACAAATCTTGTTAGAATGCACACAATTCACATTAAAGGCTAATGTTTTACATCAAGCAGACAGTGTACTACCAAATGATGGGTTCTTAATTTCCCAGGACTGGTAAGAGATAAGATTATTAGTGTAAGGATTAGAGGCATAGAGAAAAGAAAAATATACTCCAAAGAATAAAAGCCTATAAGATAGGAGGATCTAAGAGTGTTAAGAAAATGGCTAGACTATTAGACCTGAAATTAATAGCAAATACCCGTCATTATCATGGTCATCTTACTCCTAACCCACAAGGATAGAATGTGCACGATGCTGAACAAATATAAAAAGAAGAGAGGACAAATAAAAAAGGTGAAATACAAAATAAATAAATAAACATTTAAGCCTTATTCTGGGCATATAAACATGTACACTGATATATACAATAAAGGGATAGCTTTAAAAAATTCCATTTGAAAATCATGTTGGCTTTTCTTAAAAAGAGGACTTAGTTGTTTACAATACAAAAATGAAGTAAAAATCTTTTAATCGAGTCACACTTCCCAAAGCATTTGTTTCAGGAAAAAAAAAAAAGAATTATATAGATTTTGTCTGCTCTAACTATGGTGGTTTCCCTCATCTTCAAATTTCTCAAGGGAGACATAATGTAGGAATTCTCCAAAATGGAAGCTGATTAAAGAAAAAAAAAAAATCAACAGAGCACTGATTTACAAATGTGTTTCTGAGATAATCCAAATCCAAAGGAGGAAAACAGAGTGTATCTTCAGGAGCAGCATACAAATAAGAGAAAACGCAACTCGATGAACACACTTCCACTCCACACTTGTCCTTCCAACATACAGTACTGCTCAACATATCCACTTAGATCGATGTTCTAGTAGCCACCTCAAACCCCGTCCAGCCTTCTCTGACTTGGTCAACAGCACACTGTTTGCACCAAGATGCTTAAGCCCAAAACCTAGAGTCATCCTTGACTTAGCTTTTTCTTTTATCTACCATATCCAAACCATTAGCAATCCTTGTAAACTCTACCTGCGAAAATACTCTTTTTTCATCTTCACTGTGATCACTCTTTTGTAACCCTAACGGATTAGGGAAGACTGTAGTTTTCCATGAACTGCTGCAACAATATTCCCAGTCCCATATGCTCCTCCAGAACCGTGCCACTCCAGCCAGTGGTGGAGCATCTGTCCTCTCCTCTTCAACTTGAGTGTGAACATATAACTGCCTTGATCAATAGTTTCATGTATATGGCTTCTTTTTTTTTTTTTATTGATGTAATTAAATGAAGTTTACATTTCAAGTTAGTCTCCCATACAGATTTTTTTTTTTTTTAACATACATTGTTATAAGACCCCAACCGCTCACCCCATTCTGCGACAGCACACTCCTCCCCTCCGCCGCTGGCTCCCCATGAACATTCAACCAGCTCCTTACTCTCTCTGCCTTCCCCTCTAACCTCTGGACAGAAGCCGCCCCTTTGGTCTCTTATATCTACTTGTCTAAGAGGCACATTCTTCACGAGTATCACTTTATGTCCCACAGTCCAGTCCAATCCCTGTCTGAAGAGTTGGCCTCAGAAACTGTTTCAGTTCTGGGGTGATGGAGAGACAAGGGGCCATGCTTTCTGGGGCGCCTCCAGTCTTAGTCAGACCATTAAGTCTGGTCTTCTTACTAGTATTTGAGTTCTGCATCCCATCATTCTATTGCTCCATCAGGGACCCTCTGTTGTGTTCCCTGTCAGGACGTTCATTGGTGGTAGCCGGTCACCATCTAATTCTTCTGGTCTCAGGCTGATGAAGTCTCTGGTTTATGTGGCCCATTCTGTCTCTTGGGCCAATACTTTCCTTGTGTCTTTGGTGTTCTTTGTTTTCCTTTACTCCAAGTGGTTGGGACCAATTGATGCATCTTAGATGGCCGCTTGCAAGCTTTTAAGACCCCAGATGCCGATGTATACGGCTTCTAAGGCTAGGTTTAAAAGGCAATAGAGCTTCTGCATGAATCTCTCTGCCAATGAATCATGTGCCAATGAAGCCATGAGCCGCCATATAAGAAGTCTAGCTACCTAGAAGCCTTCATGTGGAGAGACCACAGAGAATGATGCCCGAGGAGCCCCAGCTGCTCCAGCTACTAGCTGTCTGAGTCCTGCCAGCTTAAGTGCTGGACATGAGAGTGAGTAAGCTGTCAGATGATTCCAGTTTCAGTCACTGTCTGCTGAAACTGTGAGAGATCCTAAGCAAGAACCACCTAAATGAGCCCTGTCAATACCCAGAATTGTGAGAGACAGTAATAATATGATTGTTTTTATGCAGCTTTAGATAACTAATACTCTGGTACTGCTGCTTCTCCTTTAGCTTGTCAACATTCCATTCTCCTTGGAGCAGCCAGAGTGATCTTTAAAAAATACAAATCATATCATGGCACTCTTTCCCCAACTGAAAATCTTCAATGGTCTCCTATTCCATCAAGATTATTATCCAGGCACTACACCTCAGCCTATAAAATGCTCCTTCCGGCCTGCCTCTCAGATTCATTTCCTACCTCTATCTGCCTCACAGCTCTATTCTAGCCACACTGGCCACCTTTCTGTTCCTCCACTTTGCTAAGCTGGTTTCCATATTGGGGATGATGGCAAGCTGCTCCTGCTCTCTCTTAAAAATTCTTTTTCCCGATCTTTGCATGGCTGGCTCCTTTTTATCACTCAGGTCTCAATTTAAATGTTACCCTTCCAAAAATCACCCAATTAAAATAACCAGCCAGCCTATGTTAGTTTCCTATTGCTGCTGTAACAAATAACTACAAATTTAGTGGCTTAAAACGTCACAAATTTATTATCTTCCAATTCTAGAGGTCAACTTCACTGGGCTAAAATCAAGGTGTTGGCAAGCCTCCTTTCCTGCTGGAGGATACAGGGGAGAATCTGCTTCCTTGTCTTTTCCAGTTTCTAGAAGCCACCCACATTCCTTGGCTCATAGCCCCTTCCTCCATCTTCAAAACCAGCAGCGTAGCATCTTTTCTTCTCTCTGATCTCTGCTTCGATCTTTATATCTTCTTTCTCTGACTCTGATCCTCCTGCCTCCTTATAAGGACCTTTGTGATTACATTTGGCCCACCTGGATAATCCAAAATAATCTCCTCATCTCAAGACCCTTAACTTAATCACATCTACAAAGTCCTTTTCACCATGTAAATTAACATATTCACAGACTCTGGGGATTAGGACATAGGCATCTTTGGGTGACTACTGTATAAGCCTATCACCCAAATCCTCCATTACATTCCCATTTGTTTTTTATAATTTATTTTGTTGTTGTTGTTAATATACACAGGAAAATATACACCAATTCAATAGTTCCTACATATACAATTTACTGACACTGAATACATTCTACAAGTTGTGAAACCATTCTCACCCTCCTTTTCTGAGTTGTTCCTCCTCCATTAACATAAAGTCACTGTCCCCTAAGGTTACTATTTAATCTTTCAAGTTGCTGTTGTCAACTTATCCCATATAGACAGTTCTTTAAAAAGCATAATGCTCGAGGTTGACATTCTTTACTAATTAAGCTGAATTATTGTTTGGTTTTAAGAAAATTATAGGGGATATTTTTGGTTTAAGGTTTAAAGATTATCCCAGGGCAATAGTTTCAGGGCTTCATCTAGCCTCCATGGATATAGAAAGTCCAGATTCCGCAACAACTTTAAATTGTGTTCTGCATTTTCCCCGTTTTGATCAGGAATGTTCTATAAACTCGCTGATCAAAATGTTTAGTAATGGTTGCCGGGCACCATTTATTTCTTCTGGTCTCATGGCAAAGGAGGCAGTTGCTCATAGAGGCTATTAGCCATTCATTCCATTTCCTCCTCCTGTTCCCAACTCTTCTTCCTCTGTTGCTCCAGGTGAGTAGAGACCAATTGTCGTGCCTTGGATGGTTGCTTGCAAGCTTTTAAGACCCCAGGAACTAGGAGGTAGAAGCACTAAACACGTTATTAGGCCAATTAACTGGGATGTCCCTGAAACCATGACCCTAAACCTCCAAACCAAGGAACCAAATCCCATGAGGTGTTTGATTGTACATAAGAAGTTATTCTTTTTTTTTTTTTTGGTCATTGTTGTAAATATATCTATCACACAACTTTTGCCAATTGAACTTTTTACAGGTGTACAACTTATTGACAGCAATTACATTAATTGGCTGTAACATTCCTCTGTTTTAATTATCTACACAAGCCTTACTGTAATCTGATATTTTCCTGTTTACTTACTTATTTGTCTGATTGCCCCCACAGAAACCAAACCTACTACCGTCAAGTCAATTCTGACTCATAGTGACCGTATAGGACAGAACAGAATTGCTCCATAGGGTTTCCAAGACTGTAAATCTTTACGGAAGCGGACTGCCACATCTTTCTCCCGCGGAGTGGCTGGTGGGTTCCAACCACCAACCTTCTGGTTTGCAGCCATGTGCTTTCACCACTGCACCACCAGGGCTCGCTCTGATTGCCCCCGTAGGATGTAAATTTCTTGGGAGCAGGGATCTTCCCTTAATCCATACCAGATATCCAGCACTTAAAACAATGACTGCCACATAGTAGGCAGGCACTCACTATTTGATGACTAGATGAATGAATGAGGAAAGCACAGGATTTCAGAAGGTTAGTGTTTGGTTTAGCTGTCCCTCTAAGGTAAAGAATGCTCTATAGCTCAACGAAACATGCTCTGGGAATAGCCAACTAATTCTAATGCTATGATCGCCATCCAACTTTGTAACGGAAAATTTGGTTGCCTAAATAAATGTGCCCTTCAAGAGTAAGCAGGACTCCCACTTTAAATGACTACAATGGTGGTCAGTGTATATATTAGTCAGTTTCTTAAGAGCCTGGGTGGTGTGAAACTGTGACCCCAACATCACCCTTTCCCCACTCAACCCACCCATTGTTACTCATACCATGACCCAAGAGAGCCTCACTACTTCTGGATAAATGGGTAAGTTTGGGATTCTGACCTCAAGAGGCTGAAGACCAGGCTGTGGACTGTGGACCCCACACGGCTGGCTTCCCCATCGTTGAGAGCACACTTTCACTATGACATCACAGAAAATATAAAACCTGAGGTGCGTGAACATCTTACAAATAATGACCACCTTCTAACCCTGTAGAGTTCACCCTGTTCCTGTGCATATCCCACCTTGAGCTCATGGATCAGACTCCTAGTTTGGCAGAGACTGTAGCGATCCTGGCTCCTCACTGCAGACAGCAAGTGGCCGGTGTCGGTGAGGAAGCGGAGCAAGTCCTCCACGGAGGCATTGAAGTACTGCCACTGCCTCGCTAGCCCATCGATGTCACCCTTCCTCTGATGTACCCTCTGCGCAGCACTTTGCCACTGGTCCTTCATCATCGTGAATTTCAAAACAAACTCCGGTCTTGGTAAAAACAGACAGTGAGTTGACTACTACAGTGAATCCTAACATGAATGTGCAGAAAAAAATAACCACCAATGGGTAATAGAAGCTCAGATTTGCTATTTACATGCGCAACTTACACGGAAAAAACTTCTTAAAGTATGAGCATTATTCAACTTACACAGGATGGAAGCTTTGGGCCAGGGCAGTGTGTGAATTAGCCAAGAGGGATTTAGCGGAAGATGTTTGCATGTAACCTGGTATTTTGCCAGCATGCATGCCAATCATTCCCTTAAACAAACTGAAGCTGTTTTAACATACCAAATGCTGCATGGAAAACTCAATATCGGATCAGTGGGAAAGGGTACTGATTACTTGAGGGTTGTACTTTATATAATTTGAGCAATAAAGAGCGTGCTTTCTACAACTATTCAACTAGTCCTTTCCCAGATAAACGTTGTTGTTGGTGAGTGTCGTTAAGTGACCCCACGTGACGGAGCAGAAGTGTCCCAGGGGGTTTTCTAGGCTGTAATCTTCACAGAAGCAGATTGCCAGGTCTTTCTTCTGCGAAGCTGCCAAATGGGTTCAAACGGCCAACCTTTCAGCTAGCAGCTGAGCATGTAACTGTTGTGCCACCAGGGCTTCTTTTCCAGATAAGTAACACCCATGATTTAAAAAAAAAGGCCTTTTACGAATTATGGAAAAATGTCCTATTTTGCCTTACTGATCAAATCAAAACTAGCTTACCATTCTGGAACTGGCTTCAATTTATTACTTCTGATCTAGGAAGAAACAGGCTTTGTATTTCTTAATTATGCTGGAAGAAGAACCAGAGGTATAATGTGTGGCAATGGGGAGGAAAAAAAATACCTATCAGAACGTCTGGGGAAATATTTGGGCAGTGAGGCCACATCTGGGCTCTGTCCGCCATGCATACCAGTTGCACGAGCAGGTTCTGTTATAGCTGCCAGGCTAGACTAAGGGGCTCTGCTCGGCCTGGCCTGGCACTGCCCAGTGACCCCAACCCCATGAATGTAACACAGAGAGAAACCCCTTCTTTCACAACTGTGACAGAGCTACCTGCTGGGAACAGAAGTACTTCAAAAATTATTTTTTAAAAAGCAAAACATCATGAGGGAGAGGGAAGAGAGGAAAACATACCACAGAAAAATCATCTGGGGTTAGAACTTAGATAATTGTATGTCTCAAGTGGGTATTTGCAAAACTTCTGGTCTGTGAAGCCTGTTCACTACCCAACTTTGGGAAAAGTACCACTGATGTTGTAATGGCCACATAGCAAGACTCTGTCCTGACGTACAGTCAGAAGACTGGTCCCATTGTGGTCTATTAACTAGTATGGCCTTGAAGCTGGCATGGTCAAGCTGCATAGTAGAAGGCCTGCCCTGACTGTTCTATACTCCGTAAACCGACAACCATCATACGCCCGGACAACTTACCTCTTCTCTACTTCTGCTGTGTCCAGGAGTTGTAAGGACTGGGTAACAAAAGAATCAGCAATTGTCTGATTTATAGAAATTTCAGCTTCTAACATCTGCAGATAAGTCAAAATATAAAACAGTAGCTAATATAATTCATTTTATGAATACGAAACTTAAATTTCCAATTAACATCTAAGCTTATAGAGGATATGTGACATGATTCATTTTCAAAGTATTTGAGCCCAACTACCAAAAATGCTCAACTATTACATCAACATTACCTATGAATATAGTCTTAAAAGTTATAATAACTACATCTAATTATAATAGCAGGTACCATTTATTGAGTACTTGCTATCTGCTAGGCATTGTGTAAAATATACTTTGTCTCATTTACTCCTTAACCTTAGGACTTAAGTACTATTATTATATCCATCTGACAAAGGAGGAAACTAAGGCATAAAGAGGTTCAGTAGTTTATTTGAGGCTACCCAGTTTTTTGGCAGGGCGGATTTCATTTTCATTGAATGATCTTAATGCCGCAATGCAGACGTAAATAGTTACATTAAAAAGTTACAATGAGCTAATCACGCACACTTTTGAAATGCAGGATTTGCCTATGATCACCAGGACTATTTCCAAATATACATTAGCACAAGTATCAGAGGGAAACTCTGTAAAATTATTAACACAATTATTATGATGCCATGTGCTCCAACGTTTTAAAGAATTTGTCAGTGAAAATGCAAAGGTGAGTTGAAGTATTTTAACATGCTCTCGGTAAAATGGTGTATATAATGTTTGCACTCTGTGGAAGCAAAGCTGTGCTAGAAGCTTCCATTTACTGTAGAAACTGCAGGAATGCTGTCACTATTAAAATAGGGTGGTAGAACAAAATGTAGAATTTATGATGTGAGAGAATTTTACAAGTGAGCGATTGACAACTGAATTTGCTTCACGACATACATTCTGTATTTAGAGACTGATAGGTACTCCTTATATTTTAAATTTATCTTTCCCCAACTCCTGTCCCAGAGCGAGGGGTACAAGGGTGGGAGAGAGCACAGGATTACCTCATATGATTTCTGCTGTTCCAGGAGAGCTTGAAGATTGCTGGCAATATTCACTTTGAGCATCTCTTCTATCTTCTCCAGAAGCTGGACCCATGTTTCACAGCAATAAAGAAACTTTTCATTCAACCCAATTCCCTGAAGCTCACTACAAAGGTTTAAAAACAAAAGAGTCACATAAGAACGGCACTGCCAAACTCAAGCCATTCATTTTACCTTAACTGAAACACAATGAGTAAAGAAGGGGTGTTCTGACCTGCAACGTTCCAGTGCTGTCGCTGTGGCCCGGATCCACTGCCGGTTCATATTTTGTAATGTCTTTACAGCTATGTCACTAAGTGGCAGCTTGAGACTGACTTCATTCAAACGTTCAATATCAGGTGACTGGGCTGTTAGTGCCAGCACATGATTCTATTAAAAAAAATTAAATTCAAATTTTTGAATGCCGGTAAGATATGTAGATGATGAAAAGGCCACAGAGATCCTGTAGGTCACCCCTTATCTCAAAGATGAGAGGCAACTGAAGCCTAAACAGATAAATGCTTTGCCCATGGTCAAGTAGCTAGTTAGTGGCAGAGCTGAACCTAGAACCCAGGTCCTGTGCCTTTTCTAGAAACCAAGCTGCACACAGCCAGCACCTAAGCAGCCCAGGAAATAAAAGTGAGCTCAGATTTTGTCTTTGAGAAATATGAAAAATGAGCTTTAAAAAAAAGACCAATTCTGGAACTTCAAATCCCATTTAGTCTGCCAACAAGGACCTTTAACAAGTCACACAGTTTACTTACAAATCAAATGAAAATTTGAACTGTAAAATAACCTTAGCAAAGCATATGGTACCTATATTTTGGAAGAACATGAAATCATAAGAAAGCAAATACATCAGAAATTTATTTTTAAAAAGATATTCTAGGGACAGCCTCTTGGTCACCATTATGTTAAACAAACATCCTTCATAATGTTCATGTTATCACTATAAAACTCTACTATAACATTCTAGGTCAGGGTCAGCAAACTTTTTCTATAAAGGGCTAGATTATAAATATTTTAGGCTTTGTGGGCCATGTGGTCTCCTGCAACTATCCAACTCTGCCCTAACAGTAAGAAAGCTTCCGTAGACAATAAGTAAATGAATGAATGTGGCTGTGTTCCAATAAAACTTATTTATAAAAACAGGTCACAGCCTGGATTTGGACACCAGGCCATAGTTTACTGACTCCTAATCCAGGTTACAAATATTGATCACTAGGAGTTGCAAGAATTCTTTAATTCTTCCATTCATTTATACTAAATTTATTAAGGTAATGAAGAAAAATTATACAATTTTAATATTTTACTTTTGATCTTCAACTAACCATAAAAATTTAATCAATCACAACAACCACTGAAGCTAATCAGTAAAGACATCAAGATTAAAAAAAAAAAAACTACTAAAAATTACTGTGGCATATTACTGAAACAGTTCTCTATGCTGTCATACTTTTCTAGGCCTTAGGAAAAATAGTGTACGAATGAATGCATATAAATGACTGTGCTCAAAAGTTAGTTAGGATGCAAATAAATTCTACAATGTGACAGTAATTCGCTTATTATTTTTTATCCTATAGTGATTCTAAGACTTTAGGAAAGACAAACGTTGGCAATACCAGGATCATGTCAGAATTTTCTTCTTTTTCTTGCTGGTAGAGTTTATCCAAATTCTCTTCTTCATGCATAATAAGACATTTTAGAGATTCCAAGTGGTCCTCAAAATCCTTAAACTGTGAGAGAACAAACTAAAACAGGAGAAATTGTCATTAGAAGCAATTTTCATGTACATATATAACAGAATTAAGCACAGGCTAGTCTTGGGAGCTGATGAAAGTTCAAGCTGTTTTTCAACCTCCAGGATCTCATTATTGAACATTCGAGATGAAAACTCTGGTTTTCACTTTGTGCCTTTGGCAAAGCACTGAGCCTTTTGAGGATGAATGGATCGATCACCTGCTTGATGGGGGCATGCAGAGAACCGTGAATGACTACTCTGCTCCCTCAGTTGATTTTTTCCTGTTGGTGCTGAGACTTGCTATTAGAGCTCCACAGCCTTCTACCCAGCTTTTTGACAGCTCAGCTACGAAAGGCTTTTAAAAAAGTGACTAAATAACACAACACATGGTTATGCTTGAAGCAGCTACTTCTATGACTCAATCAGCCCACTTGGAGAGCCAAATAACTGTGAGATCAGAACAGAGTATGAAAGATAACGTTTATCACTTTTTAAACTAACATGTTCCATAAAGAAGAAAGGGTCACTTAAGATCTGTCTCTTGCCCATGGGATTGAAGCTAGAATCATGCCAATGGCGCACATATTCGGGGCAGCTCTGCTGTCTAGTTCCCGAGGGAGCAGTCCACAAAGCACAAATTACTTCCCAGAATCCAAGGGACTGAGGGCACTGCACAAATGTCCCAAACTACAATGTGAATGGAAAAACAGTAAGATGAACCTGAAACTCATTTGCTTTCACAAGCAGCATCTTCTCCAAATAAGAAGCCCTCTGGAGGGAGTGCGATTGACCAGAGAGGAGCACTTGGAGGCTGGACTCTGCGGAGGGCGAGGGTGGGAATCGCTCCAGGAGAGCGGCGTTTTGGAGAAACACTTCTTTTGTGTTCTGCACATCACGCTGCAGCTCCTGGAGAGGAAAAAGTCATCACAAAACACTCCCTTCTTCACACCACAATTCCCCACCCCCTGCCGCTCCATTGACATCTAGGGGAATTTTTGCCCTGAAATTGAGGTTGTGGCTTTTTATTGTTATTGTTTATTTAAAAGTGATGAAAAAGCTAGGTTTTTTTATATGATATACGCCCTGGTGCTATGTCCTGAAATCTGTCAGTTCAGAGCTAAAACTCACCAGTGATCAATAGAGTTGAGGTTTCTAATTTATGGAGTGGGTAGTCACGTGTTCTCAGTTTCTACTCACCTAACAATTTAATACCATATCAAGAATCTATGCAAAACCGTCCCATCTGAGACTTTCTGATATAAACTGATTCATTCGTAGTGACTATAAAACCTCATTAATCAAGGCTATTCTGGCAATATGATGTGAGTGAGATTTCTGGTGAGGGTTTTTTTTTTTAAATTTTAAACAACAAATCAGGTAGAAGTTGACTAGAATATCTATTGGATTCTTGTCTCTCTAATTAAATTGGTTAATACTTTTTAATTTGACCTACAGTATCAGAAGATACAAAATATATCTAGTTAGCAAGTTAAAAACTAAAAAGTATTTACCTTCTGGGCATTCATTAACAATAAGAGGCAAAAAAGAACACAGAGGAAATTATACAACTCTTAAATATCATCTAAAAAATCACTACGCACACAGAAAAACCACACTAACGCGGGCACCAACTTCACGATTATTTCTAACGCTAGGGATTCAACATCTATTATTCTTAGATGATCATACTCAGTTGAGAAACTGACTATAAGGCTTTTGCTTAGGAGATGAAACTGCTAGATGAACAGGTAGACTGGAATGAGGTGGTGTCAGGTCCCCCTGACCCAGCTACGTGCTGTCTGGAGGTCTCCTCTGCCATCCGGTCCTCCCAACCTCACACATCCATGGCCTTGCTTATGTCCTAGATGGCCTGCTCGTGGCACCTGTCCTGACCAATTTCTCTGTCCCTGTGGTCTGTCTAGCCCTTGGATCATTGTCAATCCTTCACTGGTCCCATCTGTTTGGGCGAGTTGGCCTTGGTTTTCCCCACGAGCTTTGCACCCACCTTTATGTCGTGCAGGGCTGGGGTCAGGATTTCTGCCAGGTTGTTTCCAGACATGCTGATGCTTGCAAGCTGTTGATACTTTGCTGCCTGCTGCTCCAGCCTTGCTGTGGCTTCAGTGTGAGCACTGCCATACGCCTTCCAGAGCTGCAGCAGACTCTGGGCCTTCTGCAACTCGTCTGCGATGGCTTGGTTTACTTGAGTCCACCTGTTAGTGCAACATGAACAACAGCACCCTCATTCCATCCTCTCCCTTGTGGCAAAAGTACAATGTACATGCTCTACCAGTACTTAATAGCAGATGAACAGCTAAGAAGCCACTGTTAATTTCTTTCTTTCTTTCTGTTTTTAAATAATGGCATCACCATTATATAAACTGAAGTCCAAATTAGGCTATTTAATTCACTTTCTAATACTCAGCAGAAACTACAAAGTTTGCAAATGGCAACAAATATCTATTGTATCATGAGTGCTTCCTTGGCAAAGGTGAGGAAAGCACTGAGCTGCATGCCTGATGAAAACTCCTCCACATGAGAAAGGCTCCTACTTTACAAAGAGTATCTTTATTTATTTTTTTATTGTACTTCAGGTGAAGGCTTACAGAACTAAGTTTCTCATGAAACAGTAGTACACATATTGTTTTATGACATTGGTTAACAACCCCACAACCTGTCAAAGTTCTCCCTTCTCGACCTTTTTTTTTTTTTTGGTGAAAATATACATAGCCAAAGATACACCATTTCAAAAATTTCTACATGCACAGTTCAGTGACATTGACTATGCTCTTCC